TGTTGCCAGGCGCCAGGCTGGAGTGCAATGGCGCGATCTCGGCTCACTGCAACCTTCGCCTCCCGGGTTCAAGCAATTCTCCTGCCTCAGCCTCCTGAGTAGCTGGGACTACAGGCACGTGCCACTACACCCAGCTAATTTTTGCATTTTTTAGTAGAGACGGGGTTTCACTATGTTGGCCAGATGGTCTCGATCTCTTGACCTCATGATCCGCCCACCTTGGCCTCCCAAAGTGTTGGAATTACAGGCGTGAGCCACCGCTCCTGGCTTATTTTTTATTTATTTTTTAAGGCAGAGTCTCTCTCTGTTGCTCAAGCTGGAGTGCAGTGGCACAATCTTGGCTCAGCCTCCCAAAGTATTGGGATTACAGGTCTGAGCCACTGCATTCAGACTCTAGTGATTTTTTTTTTTTTAATTCAGAGTCTGGCTCTGTTGCTCAGGCTGGAGTGCAGTAGCTGGATCTTGGCTCATTGGAAACTCCACCTCCCAGATTCATGCAATTCTGCTGCCTCAGCCTCCTGAGTAGCTGGGACTACAGATGCCCACCACCATGCTCAGCTAATTTTTGTATTTTTAGTAGGGACAGGGTTTCACCGCGTTAGCCAGGATGGTCTTAATGTCCTGACTTCGTGATCCACCTGCCTTGGCTCCCAAAGTGCTGGGATTACAGGCATGAGCCACTGTGCCCAGACGAGGCTATTATTTTTATCTCTTAAAAATTAGCCAGGTGTGGTGGCGGGTGTCTGTAGGCCCATTTACTCAGGAGACTGAGGCAGGAGAATTGCTTGAACCTGGGAGACGGAGGTTGCCGTGAGCCGAGATTGTACCACTGCACTCCAACCTGGGTGACAAGAGTGAGAAAAAAAAAATCACCTCGTCCACTTAAATGTTTACTTCTCACGATAAAGACCAAACTCAGCAGGGCCCCACTGCCTCTGCCCTGCACGCTCCCCACAAGTTCTCTGGCTCTCTGCCCATGGCTACAGTGGCTTCTCTCTGCTCCTTTCCTCATACGCCCTGCCCCTCCTCAGGGCCTGGCACGGGCTGCGCCCTCTGCCTGGGATGCAGCTCTCCTCCCCTCTTGACTTCCTTGACTCTTCCTCATCAGGAAGATCCCAGCACCATCTCTTGTCAAGGTCAATGTTTTTTGTGATTATTTATTTCACATTTTCCTCTCCCAGTAGATCATAAGCCCCCTGAGGGCGGTGAGCAGATCTGTTTCTTCTCAGAATCGTATTCCCAGATCCAGCACATGCCAGACACTCATTCCTTCACATGTTTACTCAAGAAAACATTTATTGAGCAACTGCTATGTCCCAGGCCCTGCAGATGAACAAGCCAGATCCAGACACCACCCTCTTGTAGCTGCTACGGGGGGTGGGGGAAGGTAATAAACAAGCATATAAATATCAGGTGGTGACCACAGCTAGGAAGGAAAAGAAAATTAGGAGCGGGACAGGATGTGAAGGATATTCTGTTATGCAGGGTGATCAGGGAAGGTCTCCTTGGGGAGGTGGCGCTGAGTCAAGGCCTGAACGAAGGGTGAGAACAGCCCCAAAGACTTGAAGGGTGGAGGCTGGGGACTGAATAAGCATTACCCCCACCTCCTTGGCTGGTTGTTTTGCATGGGTGTGTAAAGGCCCTTGGGGCTACTGTGTTTGTGCAGCCTCCGGGAGAAGCTTCGGGCCATCCTGCAGGCCACGTACATCCACTCCCGGAACCTGGCGTGCTTTGTGTTCACCTACAAGGGTCTCTGTGCCCTGCAGTCCCGCATCCAAGGCAAGACCTACCAGGTGCACTCATTCCTGGCCGCCTTCCTTGGGGGTTTCCTGGTGTTTGGAGAAAACAATAACATCAACAGCCAGGTAAAGATCTTTCCAAGGTGAAGGTGGTGAGGGGGCGTGGTTCAGTAGATAGGTGGGGGTGACTAAAGTGGTTGTGGTTCTATATAGAGGTGGGAATGGGGAAAGGGGACATGATTCTATGTAGCGGTGGGGGAAGAGGCATGGTTCAGTGTAGAGGTGGGAGTGGGGGGAGGGGGCGTGATTCCGTACAGCGGTGGGGGTGGGGGAAGAGGCATGGTTCAGTGTAGAGGTGGGAGTCGGGGAAGAAGGCATGGGTTCTGTATAGAGGTGAGGTGGGGGAAGGGGCATGGTCCTGTATAGAGGTAGGGATGGGGGAAGGGCTGTGGTTCAGTGTAGAGGTAGGGGTGGGGGAAGAGGCATGGTTCAGTGTAGAGGCAGGAGTGGGGTAGGGGCGTGGTTCAGTGTACAGGTAAGAGTGGGGAAAGGGGATGTTGTCCAGTACAGAAGTAGGGTAAGGGGGCATGGTTCTGTATAGAGGTGGGGCTAGAGGAGGGGGCCCTGGTTCAGTATAGAGGTTGGGGTGTAGATGATGAAGATGGTAAGCTCTTGGCTTTTTTTTTTTTTAAACGGAGTTTTGCTCTAGTTGCCTAGGCTGGAGCTGGAGTGCAATGGCCCAATCTCGGCCCATTGCAACCTCTACTTTCCAGGTTCAAGCGATTCTCCTGTCTCAGCCTCCCAAGTAGCTGGGATTACAGACATGTGCCACCAC